ACTATTAGCGGCCCACTAACACACTATTAGTGGCCCACTAACACACTATTAGCGGCCCACTAACACACTATTAGAGGCCCACTAAAACACTAGTAGCCCACTAAAACACTATTAGTGGCCCATTAACACATTTTTGCGGCCACTAAAACACTTTTTGCGGCCACTAACCACTATTAGTGGCCCACTAACACTTAGTGGCCCACAAAACACACTATTAGAGGCCACTAACACATATTAGTGGCTCACTAACACCAACTATTAGTGGCCCACTAACACACTATTAGAGGCCCACTAAAACACTATTAGTAGCCCACTAAAACACTATTAGTGGCCCACTAACACACTATTAGTGGCCCACTAACACACTATTAGTGGCCCACTAACACACTATTAGTGGCCCACTAACACATTAGTGGCCACTTAGAACATAAAAACATAAGAACGAAGGAACACTGCAGAAGGCTACTGGCCCATGCGAGCAGGGCCCAAAGGGTCTCCTACGGATTAAGCAATGCCCCCAACCTAGTCAGGTCAGGTCACATTGACTTAAGGGAGGAACACGGAACCGACCTGGTGCACAAGCTATCAGGTCTAACTCACACCACCCACATTACTCATGTATTTATCCAACCTATTTTAAAGCTACACAACGTTCTGGCCTCTATAACGGTACTTGGGAGTTTGTTCCACTCATCCACAACTCTATTCCCAAAACCATTTACTTCCTATATCCTTTCCCTGAATCTGAATTTTTCCAACTTAAACCATTGCTGCGAGTCCGGGTCTAGGCTAGGTATTTTTCAGCACACTTTTACATCCCTTTATTTATTCCTGTCTTCCATTTATACACCTCAATCATATCCCCCCTAATTCTACGTCTTTCTAGAGAGTGCAGTTTCAGGGCCCCTTGTCTATCCCCATAGGGAAGGTTTCTGATACATGGGATCCCCTTTTTCATCCTCCTTTGTAATTTTCCAGAGAATTTATATCCATTCTGTAATACGGTGACCAAAACTGTGCAAACATATCAAAACACACTATTAGTGGCCCCCCTAACACATATTAACGGCCCCCCTAAACAACTATTAGCGGCCCCCTAACACACTTTAGCGGCCACTATCACTATTAGCGGCTCACTAACACACTATTTTGCGGCCATAAACACTATTAGCAGCTCACTAACACACTATTGTGGCCCACTAACACACTATTTACCGGCCACTAACACACTATTAGTGGCCCACTAACACACTATTAGCGGCCCACTAACACACTATTAGTGGCCCACTAACACACTATTAGCGGCCCACTAACACCTTTAGAGGCCCCTAAAACTAGTAGCCCACTAAAACACTATTAGTGGCCCATTAACACACTATTAGTGGCCCACTAAAACACTATTAGCGGCCCACTAACACACTATTAGTGGCCCCTAACACACCTATTAGTGGGGCCCTAAACACTATTAGAGGCCCCCTAACACCTATTAGTGGCTCACTAAACACATAATTTTGTGGCCCCTAACACACTATTAGAGGCCACTAAAAACACTATTAGTAGCCACTAAAACACTATTAGTGGCCCACTAACACACTATTAGTGGCCCACTAACACACTATTAGTGGCCCACTAACACACTATTAGTGGCCCACTAACACACTATTAGCGGCCCACTAACACACTATTAGCAGCTCACTAACACACTATTAGTGGCCCACTAACACACTATTAGCGGCCTACTAACACACTATTTGTGGCCCACTAACCCCACTATTAGCGGCCACCCAACACACTATTTTGTGGCCACTAACACAAATATTAGCGGCCCACTAAACACTATTAGAGGCCCCCTAAAAAACTAGTAGCCCACTAAAAACACTATTAGTGGCCCATTAACCACTATTAGTGCCCCACTAAAACACTATTAGCGGCCCACTAACACACTATTAGTGGCCCACTAACACACTATTAGTGGCCCACTAACACACTATTAGAGGCCCACTAACACACTATTAGTAGCCCACTAAAACACTATTAGTGGCCCCCTAACCACTATTAGTGGCCCAATAACACACTTTTAGTGGCCCAATTTAACCACTATTAGTGGCCACTAACACACTATTAGTGGCCCCTAACACACTATTAGTGGCCCACTAACACACTATTAGCGGCCCACTAACACACTATTAGAGGCCCACTAAAACACTAGTAGCCCACTAAAACACTATTAGTGGCCCATTAACACACTATTAGTGGCCCACTAAAACACTATTAGCGGCCCACTAACCACTATTAGTGGCCACTTTAAAATTATTAGTGGCCCACTAACACACTATTAGAGGCCCACTAACACACTATTAGTGGCTCACTAACACACTATTAGTGGCCCACTAACACACTATTAGAGGCCCACTAAAACACTATTAGTAGCCCACTAAAACACTTTTTAGTGGCCCACTAACACACTATTAGTGGCCCACTAACACTTTTTAGTGGCCCCTAACACTATTAGTGGCCCACTAACACACTATTAGTGGCCCACTAACACACTATTAGTGGCCCACTAACACACTATTAGTGGCCCACTAACACACTATTAGTGGCCCGCTAACACACTATTAGAGGCCCACTAAAACACTATTAGTAGCCCACTAAAGCACTATTAGTGGCCCACTAACACACTATTAGCGGCCCACTAAAACACTATTAGCGGCCCACTAACACACTATTAGTGGCCCACTAACACACTATTAGTGGCCCACTAAAATTACTAGTTTGGCCCACTAACACACTATTAGGGCCATAAAACACTTTAGTAGCCCCAAAAAAAACATATTAGTGGCCACTAACACACTATTAGCGGCCCACTAACACACTATTAGCTGCCCACTAAAACACTATTAGCGGCCCACTACCTTCTCACTGAAGTTGGACCAGAGATTTCAAGACGTTGATCAATATTGATCGTCCTAGTTAATCTTCCCAGTTTCTCCCTCAACTAATCTTGTTTTTAAGTGGTTGTAGTCACGGTAGCTCTGCTGACGAGCATCGAGCTCCGGCTCTTGTCCCCCCGGAATGGACCTCCGAGAAAGAGCGTGAACAGTCTAGAGTCTAATTAATCGTTTCATAATTTGCAAACAACAGCTAGTGTGTGAAACCAGTCGGGTTTGATCCGAGGGTGAGGGGAGGGCAGGTATAATTCCTAGGATCAAGAGCCCTTCGTCAGCATCAAGAAACTATTCCGCGACACTGAGGAAATTCCTTTGGAATTAATTTATTATTAAGCAATATGTCTTTTCTATGCAAGGCTGAAGGACCACACGGGTTTAGTGCTTTTTGTAGCAACAGTAATAACAACAACAACAACAACAAATAATAATAATTAATAATAATAATATAATAATTAAAAATAATAATAATAATAATAATAATAATAATAATGACATTTTAGTTTTAAAAATAATACAAATTAAAAATAAAAACAACAACAAATAATAAAAATATAATAATATTATCAGCAGTAATAATAATAATAATAAATTAATAATAATAATAATAAAAATTAATTTAAAATTAATAATAATAATAATAATAATAATAATAATAATAATAATAAAACGCAATAATTAATAATAATAATAATAATAATAATAATAATAATAATTTTAATAATAATAATAATAACAACAACAACAACAACAAGAAAACAACAAGAACAACAACAACAAAACAACAACAACAACAACAACAACAACAACAACAATAATAAATAATTATAATAATAATAGGATGGACACCATGCCCAGCCCTTTTAGGTTCGGTTAGGTGCCTGAGTCAGAGGTTGTAGCTCACAAGACTGTCATTCCCATTAGCCCCCTTGAGGCGGGGATGGTACACCAGAGAGGTCTAACTTCTCCCTACGAGCCCCGTGAGGGCGGGGAATGTGGCTAGGCCTGGGGACAGTTGGTCCCAACCATGAGGAGGTACTTGTACCTCCTCCCATGGCAGACGTTAGTCTGAGATACTCCCGAGAAAGGGAGCCAAGGCCGGGCCACCACTTGGAAAAGCCCCGGGCCAGGGGAGTACCGGCGAATCAATAATAATAATAATAATAATAATAATAATAATACTAATAATAATAATAATAATAATAATAATAATAATAATAATAGAAATAATAATAATAGTAATAATAAAACAAAAATAATAATAAAACGATAGAGGGAGGGGGTAAAAGATGCTTTGCTTGTAAGGGGCTTAGACATTCAGCAGGCTGGTGTGAGCGTGATAGGAGTGAATGGAAACGAATTGTTTTTGGGACTTGATGTGGTGTTGGAGTGTGAGCAGGGTAACCGGTTAGCCGGACTTGAGTCCTGGAGGTGGTAAGTACAATGCTTGTACTTTAAAGGAGGTGTTTGAGATACTGGCTGTTTGGAGTGACATCTGAACTGTCGTATCTGCTCATTTCTGCAGAGACAGTGATTATGTGTGAATGATGGTGAAAGTATTTTTTTTTATTGCGTCACCCTGCCTTGGTGGGAGACGGCCAGCGTGTTAATAATAATAATAATAATAATACTATTACTACTACTACTAATATTAATAATGCCAATGATGATCATAATAATAATAATTATAATAATAATGCTACAGGGTATCCTATAGCTCGATTACTAGAGCATACAGCTCACACAATGAAGTCCGTGGTTCGATCCCCGGTACGAGTGGAAACATTAGGACAAATTCCTTAAGACATCTGCCGTCCCTATTCACCTATCAGTAAAATAGGTGCCTGGGTGTTAGTCGACTGGTGTAGGTCGTCCGAAATGCTCTGCATAACAAGGGGCTTTCTGTACAGTAGTATGTCATTGATATCAGCTAGGCCTGTATACCTTGTACATGTAGAAATAAAGATTATTATTATTATGCCGTACGAGAGTGCGAGTGTGGTGTGGCAACAAGTACTTGCCTGGCAGGGAGGTGGGTGCCAGAGAGTGCCAGTGAGTGCCACTACTCAGGTCGGGCTCGCCGTCACTGCTCGCACCATGGACTCTTTCCCTACCTTCGGTGAGTTACAAACCTCGCTTCTCGTGAATGGCTCAGCCGGTAGCGCTCGCAACTGAAAGATCTGGGATTCGATCCCGGCACGATTGGAGTGAAAAGTGCTGGACCTGTTTGCCTGCACGTTTTGCCCCCTGTTCACCTGAGTAGTAAGTAGGTGCCTGGGTGTTAGTAAACTGTTGTGGGTGGCATCTCATCATCTCTAGGTGGAATATTCACTGGTATATTCACTGGTATGCTTGCCGGTACATTCACTCGTATGTTCTCCTTATGACCAAGACCTTCGCGGGACCAGGAAAGACCTACTTATTAAATTAAGGTCAGAAACGCATCAGTAAGCGTGACGTATCGAGCGTGTTTTAAAAAGTTAATTCACATTGAGCGTGTTTTTAATCTATAAACATTAGTACAGTAGATCTGAAATGTGTGTGTGTGTGTGTGTGTGTGTGTGTGTGTGTGTGTGTGTGTGTGTGTGTGTGTGTGTGTGTGTGTGTGTGTGTGTGTGTAATACAGACAGAAAATTAATTCTGAGAACTTATAACCCATAGGAGGGATCCTTAGGTCCTCCCCAGGAAGCGACCCAAAGCATGCCACTGATTCCTAAGAGGTCATTAGGTTCCCGTGTACTTTTTGCTGCAAAATTTTATAGGGGACTTGTCCAGGTTTTCTTAAAAATAATAATAATAATAATAATAATATTAAAAAATAATAAAATAATAATTTAAAAAATAATTTTAATAATAATAATAATAATAAAAATAAAAAAACAGTAAAATAAAAATAATTCTCGCATCTTTTATTTATACGTGAATTAATTAGTCCCGTTTTTTTAGGGGTTTGTTTCTGTAATTAATAACAATTTAAAAACTTCCCGGTTTTTTTTTTTGTCTTTTAAATAACATTTATAAATTTAAAAAATAAATTTTTTGGTTTTCCTTTAAAAAATTTTTAAAATTTTGTGTTTAAGTAATTTTTAGTCATTATGGGTGATAAATTAGCATTGTTTCTTGAAAGAACATTTCGTTACCAAAATTCTGCTGGGCGACGTTTCGCCCCTGAAATTTTCCGGGCTTGTAAAAACTCCCCCCGGGGGCGAAACTCTTGCAAATGCTTTTTATAAATGTTGTTTTTTAAAATTTAAACCGGAACCGGAGTTTTCCTTTGGAAAAAAGTTCCGGGGGTCAACGCCCCCCCCCCGGCCCGGTCTGTGACCCGGCCTCAAGGGGGGATCGGCCTGATCAACCGGGGCTGTTTCTGCTGGGTTTCATCAATCCAAAGTACAGCCACGGGCCCCGGGTGGTCAGGTACAGCTTTTGGTGCTTGTTCAGGGGCCTGCTTGAAGACAGGGCCCGGGGTCTATTTGGGAATCCCCCTTTTGTAAAGCGGGGGGAAATTGAACGTCTCCCAAACCCCTGACCCCTTATTTTAGGTCCCTTTTTGTGCAGGAACCCCCCTGCTTTTCCCTTGGGGGGGGTTTTGCATCATCTGCCGATCTTTTGCCCTTTTTTGTGGTGATTAATTTCCCGAGGAATATATAAAAATATTACACAAAAATAAAAAAAGGGAAAATTAATAAATTTCACAAAACGCTACGTGGAAAAGGGACGCTACCTGGCGCACGCTTTAAAAGGAAAGCACGCTTCCGACGGACGCTAAACCCGACGCACGCTAAACCCGACGCCCGCTAAGTGACAACGCTACCCCGCGCACGCTACGTGACGAAACCCCCCCTGACGCACGTACGTGACGCACCTACGTGACGCAAACCCAAACCCGACGCCCCGCTAAACCCGACGCACGCTACCTGACGAACCCCCACCCGACGCACGCTACCCGGGGCACGCTACGTGACCACGCAAACCCGGCCACGAAACCCGACGCACGCTACTGACGCACGTAAATGAAAGCACGCCATCCGACGCCCGCTTAAACCCGACCACGCACCTACGCACTCTACCTGAAAGCACTCTTTTCCTGACGGGACCTTCCCGACGCACGTAACCCAACGCACGCTAAATGACGCACGCTAAATGACGCACTTACCTGACCCACTTACCGGGCGCACGCTAACCCCGAAAGCACGCTACCCGACCAAAACCCACCTGGCGCCGCTAACCCCGCGCACCCTTACCCGAAAGCACTCTACCTGAGCACGCTAACCGACGTACCCTACCTGACCATCCCTGGGCGCCCCCTACCAAAGCCCTCCCACCTGACGCCCCCGCTACCTGAGGGGACTCCCCCCGACGCACGCTGCCGACGCAAAGCTACCTGAACCAAATTACTGACCCCACGCTTTCCGGCGACTCTAAATGCGCCCCCCTCTAAACCCGAAAACTCTTCCCTGGGCGCAAAGCTACCTGAAGCACGCTTTCTGCGCACGGCTACCCGGAAAGCACGTACCTGACCCCACGCTACCTGAAACCCCTACCTGACGCACGCTTAAACCCGAAAGCACGCACCTGGAAAGCACCTTTACCTGAGCCACGCTTAAACCCGGGCGCACGCAACCCCGAAAACACGCACCCGACGCCGCTACCTGACGCACGTACCTACGCACGCCCACCTACGCAAATCTACCCCGACGCACGCTAACCCCGCGCCGCAAACCCGACGAAATCTTCCTGAAGCCCCCCTACCAGAGCATCTACCTGACCGCACGCTACCGACGCCGTACCTGAAAGCACCTTTCCCCGACGCAAACCCCCTGAAGCACGCTAACCCGACGCCTCTAATGAACCGCCGCCCGCTACCGGCGCACGCTACCTGGTTTCACCTATTGACGCACGCTACCTGGGTCATTCTACCTGATTCACGTTTCCCGACGCACTTTAAACCCGACGCCTCTCCTGAAGCACGCCAAACCCGACGCCAAAGCTACCTTACGCCCCTCTACCTGAAGCACGCTTTCCCGACCCCCCTCCTGACGCACGCTTAAAAGGGCGCATCTATGGGCGCACGCTACCTGCGCACCTACCGCGACGCTACCTGACGCACCTACCTGACGGGAAATCTACCCGCCACGCTATCGACGCACGCTTCCGGGCGGGACGTTCCTGACGAACTTTCCTACGCCCCTTTTACCTGAGCACGCTACCCGCGCACTCTACCTGACGCACCTTCCTTTCCTGACGCACGTAAACCCGACGCATCTACTGAAGCAAAGCTACAAAGACCACTCCCAACCCGGCGCACGCTACCCGGGCGCACGCTAACCCCGGGCGCACCCAAATCTGACGCAACCCACCTGACCCCCCTCTACCCGGCCCCCCCCTCCCCGACGCACTCTACCCGACGACGCACTGAAAAGCACGCTTTGGGCGCACGCTAACCTTTAAGCACGCTTAAAAGGGCGCCTCTCCCCGACGCACGCTACCTGCGACTCACCTGAGGCCCCATACCTGACGCACCGCTACCTTCCCATTCTTTCTGAAAACCGCTACCGACGCCTTACCTGACGCACGTACCTGACGCACGTACCTGGGCGCCAAAGGGGTACCCACCACCCACCTGACGAAAATCTCCTGAAAAAAACCCCCTGACGCACTCTATCGACCCCACGCTAAAACCCGACGCACTCTCCCCGACGCCCCGCTACCCGACCACGGGGTACCTGAAAGCACGCTAAAACCCCACGCACCCTACCGAAACAAAGCTAAAACCCGACGCCCCTCCCCACCTGACGCACTCTACCTGACGCACGCTAACCCGACGCACTTTATCTGAAGCACGCTACCTGACGCACTTACCGACGCACGGAAATTTACCCACGCTACCTGACGCACGTACCTGACCACGCCCACCTGACGCACCCCTTCCTGAAACACGCTACCTGCGCACTTACCCGACGCACTCTATCTGACGCACGCTACCCGGGGCGCAAATTAAAATGAAGCACCCCTTAAACCCGACGCCCCTCTTTTTGACGCACTCTACCCGCGCACGCTACCTGACGCCAAAGCTTCCCGACGCCATCTACCTGAAACACCTACCGAAGCCCCGGGTACCCGAAACCCCGCTAAAACCAAACGCACTCTATCTGCCCCGCTTAAAATGCGCACTCACCGGGCGCAGCCTCCGGGCGCACTCTACCTTTACGCACGCTACCCGAACGCACTCTATCTGGGCGCCCCCCCACCTGACGCACCTATCTGACGCACGCTACCTGGGCGCAAATTACCTGACGCACGCTCCTGAGCCCCTCTACCTGACGCACTCTACCCCGACGCCGGGTTTCTGACGCCGCTTCCTGACGCACGCTAAACCCGAGGGACGCCCACCTGACGCCTCTACCTGGGCCACGTACCTGCGGGACTTACCCGACGCACTCTACCCGACCCACGCTTCCTGACGCAAATCTTCGAAGCCGTACCCTGACCACTTACCTGCGCCGCTAAACCGCGCCAACCTTTCCTGACGCACACCCATTTGGGGGGGGGGGGCCCCCCCGGGAAAGCTACCTGACGCATTACCTGACGCAAAGCTACCTGACGCCCTCCTACCCCCAAAGCACGCTACCGACGCAAAGCTTTTCCTTTTCGCACGCTACCGCGCACGCCTTCCTTTGGGGACTCTACCTGACGCACGCTTTCCTGACGAACTCTACCGATGCACTCTACCTGACGCACGCAAAATGACGCCCTTCTACTGAAGCACGCTTTCCCGAGCCCCCTACCTGACGCACGCTAACCCGACGCCGCTAAACCGACGGGCCCCGCTACCTGAGCACCCCCAAACCGACCCCACTTAAACCCCCCCAAAAACGTACCTGACGCCCCTTATCTGACGCCGCTACCTGACGCACTCTACCTGACCCCAATACCGGGGCCGCACGCTAAAATGACGCCCCGCCCAAACCCGACGCACTCTACCTGAAAAAACCTACCTGGGCGCAAATTTAACCCCCACGCACCCAACCCGAAGCACGCTACCTGAAACCCTCTATCTGAAGCCGCTACCCGACGCACCTAAAATGACGCAAGCTTTCTTTTTTCCCCCGCTAATGG